CCTCTTAAACACAGCACAGCATTTCAAATGTCAGCTCCTGTGCAACACTGGGCAGCCCTGGTGCCCATCTGACCCCAGGCAGGTGTGGTCCACTCTGCTGTTTTGAGGTCTCTCACTTTGGAAGAACGATGCCAACAGTCCTGGTTTTATTCCCATGCAGAATTGGGAAGTGGTCTAAATCTTAAAATGTTAACGGGAGAAGAATACAGTTTCCTGAGTTTAGGCTTTTCTCCTGACACATACTGCAGCCAGGCTGTGTGAGCTGTTCTGGATATATCCCCATGCTGACAAGCCCTGCCTCTGCCCAGCAGTCCTACCGGGGGCTGTTTTGGAGGTTCATGCACATTGTTTTTCTCTAACTCTGTGGCCCAGAGCTGCAGCTAATCTTCCTCCCATAGCTGGCAGACCCTTTTCTTCAGCTAATCTGTGTCAAACCTCTGCACCATACAGCAACCTCCTATCTCTGCTCTATGCTCTCAACTTCTGAGAAGCAACACTGGGGAAAACACATCCCTCCCAGTGGCCCCATGCCTTGAAACTTGTCTTTCCCTGCTCAACATCAGTCAGGTCTTCAAATATTCTAAAAGAGCAGACATGCTGTAAATGCCTGCAGCGCATGTAAGACTTTCTGCCAAAAATTGATATTTTTATCCTCAGTGTGATTCCTTGCATGCAAATGAAAGAGGTGCCATGAACAGTGACTGCACTCTGTAGTTAACGATCCCAGGTATGTGTAGACATATTTCTCAGCATTTTTAAGCAATTTGTTTGAGCAGCCAAGAAGACAGAATGGGGCTCATTATAATTACAGTAGCTGCCACTAAAATTCAACATTTCCCTGCAAAACTGTATATTCATTACACTTGTTCCATGTTTCAAACATGAGGGGAAAGAGATCTTTTTGTGACAAACGGGTCCAGAGCTTCTTACTGTCCAACAGTTCGGCTTCTGTATTATTTATAACTTGTATACATCAGCATTCTGCATCCATGTTATGTCACCCTGTTTCAGCCACAATGATCTCATTGGCATACTAAGGCACTGCTTTAACAGATGTCAGGTTTTTAATCCTAAATGACTCTGTAAACCATAACAAATATCTTACCTTCTGAAAAGGTTGGCTTTTCCCTTTATTTTCTATTGGCATACCTGATCTTTGTATCTTTGATCCTTGAAGTGGTGAATCTAAATGTTAATCTCTAGTTAATCTCTAAATATATTCCAGTTAAGTCTGAAAAGCAGCATGACCTACATCCTCTTCTAGTAAAAAACTGGCTAAGATATACTTAAAATGGTCTTCTTCAAGGGTGGAGGAATTCTAACTCTTCCAGATACTTTATATGTAACATGAAGAAGTAGCAAAACAGTTTTCTTTAAGGGAAATACTACTGTAAAAATGACTGAAATTGCCAAGCTTCCACCCACTCCCTTCTCAGACAAAAGCACCACTCATCTCACAGCCTTCCCCTCCTAAGTGAGTTGCACAGCCACTTCCCATGGCTCTATCACAGCGAACAACATGTACTGCAGCTCTGATAAAGCAGGGAGCAAACAATCAGCTCCCATGCTTCTTAGGACAGTTCCTCATTAGAAAGACAAAGTAGGCTTTCTGATTTGGTCAGAGGTCTAGCAATGCACTGCACAAAGTCCTCCAAATGTCTGAAACATTAATACAAGAACAGAACAGATCAGAACAGAATAGGATAGGATAGATTTCAGTTGGAAGTGACCTATGACAACCATCTAGCCCAACTGCCTGACCAATTCAGGGATGCCCGAAAGTTACAGCATGTTACTAAGGGCATTGAGCCAATGACTCTTCCCCACTGACAGGCTTGGGGCATCAACCAGCTCTCCAGAAAGCCTGTGCCAGTGTCTGAACACCCTCTCTGTGACAAAATGCTTCTTAATGTCAAGTCTGGACATTCCTTGAAGAGCCTTGGTTAAATTATCTGCTGGATTGTTTGCGACCATGGACACACACTTTGGTTCACATACACACAACGATATACAGAATCTTTCCTTTGGATTCCCTCAGGTTTGCTGCTTTTTCCCAACCGCATCACATGCCTTTATTTCCTTGGACAATCAATACTATAACAGCTCCACCACTATAGCAACACTCCCACAGTTAGAGATTTCTTCCAAGTACAGGCTGCCAACACATCCACTTCACCTTAAACAGGGAAAGGAACCGCAGAAGTAACCCAAGCAGTGGACGTGTCCTTTCCACACTCATCTTCCCAGCATAAGCCAGGGATTTGCTTACACTGTCCGGCTGCTCCTAGTAAGCTGGATGAGCACAGGATGAAGAAACTTAGCCTAATTTGCTACACACAAACAATAAGCCTTGCAAGTGAAACACAAAGCTGACAGATCATTTGTTGTCTTCAAGAGTTGGCATGAAATAGGTTAGCAGCATTCCCACATCATCCTGAGCATATATCCACTTAACAGAATTAAGCAGTAGAAATTCAACATCTTTTACTACCCTTGATTAACTAAGTCTTATTTGAGTGAAGAAAAGGAAGAAGGTACAAACTGATGAAGGGTCACCCCCATTCCTAGAGCAATTTCAAGACAGTTATATCCAGTCTGCCACAGTTTCAGTGCCATTCCCACTTCTGATTAGAAGCAGCACTTGTTCTCCACGTGCAAAATAGCTCTGGGGTGCAGAGACTAATAATACACCTGCTCTCCCAGTGGAATTTTGCTCTGGGTAGTGATTAGCCAGGACCACATCCCCTCTGCATGGTGGAAATAAAGCAGACCTTGATTAACAGCAGCCCTCAGCCATCAGGAGGTGGGTAGGGGCACCAGTATTTAACACATCAGGTGTACTGTTCCCCACTGAAGTTTATACATTGTAATATAATGTAATATAATAAACTTGTTGATTTTGGGCCTGACTGAAGCTACTTATCCAAAGGAATTGTGTATTCCCCGCTACCTGCAGTTAAGAAAAGGTGTACAGAAGTTTGTATAATACAGCAGCTTCAGCTCCGTGGAGCGGTACAGATAAGAACCACTTGTCTGGTATCTTACTGCAGATCAGAGCTTGAGGCTTCAGCAGAGCAATAAGCTCTGTTTATAGCCTTTTACAGCCCTTTTATCTATGTTGTTTTAAAAGCAGATTACACTTACACAAAACATTTTAACATTGTAGCAGATTGAAATTACCCTAAATTAAAAACTGCATCCTGAGTCTTCTAAAAGCTGTTGAGGTTATAAACTGTGTTTAATGAGCTGGACACATCTTTCTGCAATCATCCAAAGCTAGGAACTGATTAAGCAGCCACCAGACTTGCGTGCAAGTGCTCCATTAGAATATAATTTTCTGCTGCACTGTGACATGGAAGTAGATTTAAAATCTGCACAAAATTGTTTTCTGCAGGCAACTGCTAGAAATCACAAATACTGCTGTATTTACATAAAAGCTGTATAAGTGAGCAGTGAATTAAAAGCAAACAAGGATTGCAAACAAGGATATGGTCATACATGATGGCAAAGTAGAACCCAAGGTATATAGAAGACACAGTGATTGTGTTTATAGGAATGATGACAGCAAAACAGCAATTAGAATTTCACATTTATGCAGAGAAGGACTTAGGGGTGGTGGTCAATGAGAAACTTAACATGAGCTGGCTTCAGTGTGCACTTAAGCCCAGAAAACACCCGTGTCCTGGGCTGCATCCAAAGGAGCGTGACCAGCAGGTCGAAGGAGGTGATTCTGCCCCTCTACTCTGCTCTTGTGAGACCTCACCTGGAGGATTGTGTGCAGTTCTGGTGTCCTCAACATAAAAAGGACATGGAACTGTTGGAACAAGTCCAGAGGGGGCCATGAGGCTGATCAGGGGACTGAGCACCTCCTGTATGAAGACAGGCTGAGAAAGTTGGGGCTGGAGAAGAGAAGCTGCACAGAGACCTCAGAGCAGCTTCCAGTGTCTGAAGGGGGCTACAAAGATGCTGGGGAGGGACTCTTCATTAGGGACTGTAGTGATAGGACAAGGGGTAACGGGTTTAAATGTAAGCAGGGGAGTTCAGTTAGATATAAGGAAGAAGTTCTTTACTGTGAGGGTGGTGAGGCACTGGAATGGGTTGCCCAAAGAAGTGGTAAATGCTCCATCCCTGGCAGTGTTCAAGGCCAGGTAGGACAGAGCCTCGGGCAACATGGTCTAGGGTGAGGCATCCCTGCCCATGGCAGGGGGGGTGGAAGTGGATGATCTTAAAGTCTTTTCCAACCCAAACCATTCTATGATTTATTTATTTTTCTTGATTTTTTTGTTGGCAACAACATAGCCAGAATAACACATTGGGATACCTTGAGAGGTGATTTTGGACTGACCCAAAAATGCCTGCATCAGCCACCATCAACGCACACTTCATCTCAGCGTGGACATTTCCCCAGAATCCCCCAGGGGCTGGTCTGGTCTCCCTCACTGGGGACACTCACTCTGCCTCAGGGGTGAGGATCCTGCTGTGCTTGCCCTGCACGCCCTGGTGACACAACGGGGTTGCTCAAAGGGAGCTCCTGCGGTCACCGAGGGATAAAGGGTAATACCCAGCGCTCACCTTGAGCCAAAGTGTCCCGGGCTGCATCCTCCCCTAAGGCTCTTAGGAGAGCTGGCACTTTGATACCACTAACCCACACAGAGCGGTGACTTTCCTCATGGAGTTTAGCATCAGTTTAACAAAGCCAATTAAAAACCTCTCTCCATTTAATCTGGTGCAACATTCCCTGCAGAGCAGGCTTCACCAACCACTACTGGGGATAGATGGAAGAAGCTTTAAGAAGGGAGGTCAGGCTCAGCTTCTCTGTTGTCTCTCCTTTCAGCAACATTAATGCCCCACAAGACAGGTAATTTTAAAACAAGACCTTACAATTCCCTGGCATCAGCTGCTCTCTCAGGACATCCCTTTAAACTACATTTTCAAGGTATCTTCTTTCTAAAATATGTTCAACAAACTAATTCAAACCCACTGTATTTTAATAGCCTTACCTGTAGAAGCCTTGGTTATCATATGCCATTTTAGCCGCATCATCGAATGCGGATTTATTCCTGAGTTTCTTATTGTTGTTATTGTTTCTTCCCTTAAACCCAAAGTAAGCAGCTTGCATGTGCTCTAGTTCTTCGGCTCTGAGCTGGTACCACAGCTGCATATCTCTGTGAATAAAGCAAGGGATACAAAACACTGTGTTTGTGATAAACAGCTGTATCTCTGAGCTTTTGTCTGACCAAAGCCCTGACTCCCGAGTTTAAATCTAAATCCATGTTTACTGAAGACTGCACTAAAACACATAGCTGAACTTCAACTGCAAGGCAAACTTCCAGCGACTTACATAGCTGCTTAAATACCTTAAGGTGGTGGTGTGTTCTTAAATAGCATCAATTTTATTCTGTACAATAGTGGTATTTTAAGTATTATCAACCACTCCTCAAAAAAAAACCCATACAAATAAACCAAAAAAAGCACCTGTAGACAGTTCAAGGACAAAATCCCAATAATGATATCAATATGATTCAGTGGGTTTTGAGATTACAGCTAATAGCAAAAGTCACCTGAAGTGTGATGTTGTGTCCGTTTTCTCAGGGACCTTCATCGGCAACACCTGTCAGGGCAGATCCTGTGTATGTGAAAAGACCTCAGCCCATCCCCACTGTATGGAACAAATTATTTCAGAATTAAAAAACACGAAGTCTTTTCTGGGATGTTTTGCAGTTCTGCTGTTGCTGAGGTTCAGATCACCAGGCAGGCTGAAAAAATGAATTGACTTAAAAATGGTAATGTTGCCTTTGTGAAGACCAGGGCTTATTCAATTTCCCTTTGGAAGCACTCAAGGTGCTTTTCATGCTGCTCTCTGTAAGTTGGGGTGAGGGGGGGAATCACTATTTCTTTTCTTGTTTGTAAAAGAAGTCTAAGATTCCCACAGTCACAGACACTCACATGAGGTGATGGGACAAGATTAAAAAATTGTGAGAGCTGGCGATGCTGACTTTGGTGTCATTTCTGTCCTCTCAGGATGCAATCCTGCTCCTACCAAAGAAAATAGTGACTATGCTCATGCACTCAAGGTCTGTGAGGAGGCTAAATTATGTGAGGATTTTCAGTATCCTTTGTCCTTCTTCTCTCCAAATGCAAGGATAAAACATAAGATAGCACTTTAAAGATCATCAAACAGGTACCTTGAAAGACAGATTTGTAGGCAGAGGTGATCTCTTCTAGTTAGACCAACAAAAAGGAAGACAAAGACAAAGAGCCAAAGAAGAGCAGACAGGCAGACTTCAAAGGTAAAAGCAAGGTGAGGACATCCTCCCTACTCCAGGGGTACAGACTACCTTTTCTTTCAGAGATGGTCTAAGAGACACTTATTTAACTAAATCCCTACCAAATATTCTCATTTTGCATTAAGTTACCAAGCCTGCAGCTTCTCTTCAGATTGATGTTTTGGGCATCCAGAAGTCAATCCACATTTTCCACCTACATCAACAAAAGAGATGCTACCACCACATCTGGTACGTTGCAGATCAAGCATATTACACACAGGGATGCGTTACTCTTTCTCACATGACATGGACAGTTTCTACATCATCTCAGGTGCTTTCTACCAAGCTTCTACCAAGCCACACACTGTCTACAGTGCCCAGAGCACCCCTCCAGGAATAGGGCTTGTGGACAGGCCGTGTTGGAGCAGTTCCTTCATGGGACAGTGAAGGGAGGACAGACAGCAGAAGAGAATGGAGAAGCTCCCAGCAAAGGGAATAGCATTAAGCCTGATGACAGAACCATGTCAAAATGCCTTATGTGAAGGGCTTTTCTTTCATAAGAGAAAAATACCAAGTTATCATAGTCATGTGAATGGCTAAGTGAGAAAACATTTAAAATAAATGAAAAGCAAGGACTATGATATGAACAGTCTTATCAAAAAGTGGCAATTCCAAAAATGACGATCAACTCTTCCATTTCAAAAGTTATTTCATGCTACCTAATATCATGAATGACACCAAAGACTTTCTTTTTTTTTTTTTGTCTCACAAAATCCTTTTGAGGGAAAATCTGTATCTACAGTCAAATTTCAATATGACAGAATTTCCCCCCTAAGCTGGTTCCCTCACAGCTCTAGATAAAACACAGCTCAGACCAGAGACCTTCACTGTGTCCTCCCTGATCTCCCTCTACTCCACTGCTACTCTGCCTTACTCCAAACACTTCTTGGAAGCAAGAAGAGGTAGGGGGCTGGAACTAGATGATCTTAAGGTCCTTTCCAACCCTAACCATTCTATGAATCTATGAAAATCAGAGTTCAGCTTACTGTGTGCACCACAGGACAGGTGCAGCCACCTCCACAAGCTACATACAGACATGGGAACAAGAAGCAGGAAAAGTGAGAGGAAAATCAAAAAGAGGCACTCATGGAAAGCATCCTGCAGCAGGTCACTTTGGATGGATGCTCACATGAGCAACAGTGGCTCGGCTTTAGCATATAGCCAGATGTGGTCATGCAGCACACTTCACACTGAGTTTTTATACCGGTAAAATTTACTTCTTCCTGTGCCTGTTTCTAATACTGAACATCAAGGCAGAAGACAAAATCCTGTCTCCTTCCAGCACAATGTTGTGACAGCTTTGCAGGCAGTGAGGACTTTTGATGGTTTTGACATGGGTAGATTAATTTTCCCAGCAGTGCTCAAGAAAAGCAAAAGAGAAAGAGAGAGAGAAGAAGGGAAAATGCAGCCAAGGTTAAATAATTCAAGGAGAGAAAGACTGGGCCAGTAAATAAGACTTGTATGTTCAGCTTTTGCATAATCCTGGATAAATCCAGATCTGCCCAGACCCACTGAGGTTATCTGATATTAACGGACATTAGGTGCCTAAATACGCTTGAATTCCAAGTCTTTCTATGCCTAATGCTTGACCTACAAATTAAGGATTTTAAGTAGTTAACATCATTGCAGTGTTGCAAGCATCAAGTCCTTTGAAGCTCTCTGCTATCACAGCAGTGGGATCCATCTGATGCACAGTCTTACCCTGGCTTTAAAAATCTTTTCTTGACATACCTTTGAGTCCTCCTCCTTTCACTTTTCTTCACACACTTGATAAGACAACAAGTTAAAAAAGCCATGGACATCAGCAGAATGACGGCACAGCTCACGATGGAGGCAATCACTGCAACCTTAAATCCAAAACTCTCATATTTTGATATGGCTGCAGCAAAGCAAACACAGAAGCATGTTTCTAAGGTCAAGCCATGAATTCATCATTCACATTTTCATTAAACACTCCTGTAACCTACCTGCTTCCCACTTCTGCTAATAGTAGCTCCGCAAGGACTTTCACGTTAGACTGTGCCAAGATACCAGACTAAGCTTTGGCTTAGAGCTATGCAAGCCTCCAGTTAGGGTATTTAAAAATCTCTATTTTATAAGCTACTAATGAATCGTTCACAAGTATTTAATCACTGTAATTAATTAAACACAATGCCTTGAGTGCTGCAGTAGCTAAAAAGCACAACTTTGTCAGCATCTCAAATGCAATTGGACATGGAACTGTTGGAACAAGTCCAGAGAAGGGCCACGAGGATGATCAGGGGACTGAAGCACCTCCCATATGAAGGTAGGCTGAGAAAGTTGGGGCTGTTCAGCCTGAGGAAGAGAAGCTGCGTGGAGACCTCATAGCAGCCTTCCAGTATCTGAGGGGGGCCTATAGGGATGCTGGGGAGGGACTCTTCATTAGGGACTGTAGTGACAGGACAAGGGGTAACGGGTTAAAACTTAAACAGGGGAAGTTTAGATTGGATCTAAGGAGGAAATTCTTTCCTGTGAGGGTGGTGAGGCACTGGAATGGGTTGCCCAGGGAGGCTGTGAATGCTCCATCCCTGGCAGTGTTCAAGGCCAGGTTGGACGAGGCCTTGGGTGCCATGGTTTAGTGTGAGGTGTCCCTGCCCATGGCAGGGGGGTTGGAACTTGATGATCTTAAGGTCCTTTCCAACCTTCACTATTCTATGATTCTATGATTTCTCTCATTTTTCTTTAATGGAATCTCTCAAATAAGATATAAGAATAGCTGAGCTTGAGAGGAAGCACAAAGTGTCTATAGGAGCCATCCATCTACTTCTGATTTAAAATATCCGAGGTCTGAGACACAGAATGAGATTCTCAACGCTCAGAGGTACCATGTTTTGCTTGGGCCTAGTCAAATTACTAACTAATTAGTAATAACTAAATTATTGTATTAAATAAGAAGGAACGCAGCATGAAAAGTAGTTAATCCTGATGCCATTCAAACATGGTTTGTCAATGTGGTAACTTTCCCAGGCAGCTGCCCACAGGCAACAACCTGGAATTGTTCAAAAAGTATCACTGCATTTGTTTTGCAGCAAAAGTATCTTCAGGAAAGAAAGCCGGGAGATTAGAGGGTTTGCAAACAAGTTTGCACATTAGCTGCTCATAGCTACACATTTTCTGAAGAATGGTACAGCTTGTAGCTACAGAGCCACAGTTACTCTGGGCGCTGCACTGTGGGAGCTGGTGACATGAGATCCGGCACAAACTGGACCGAGTCTTTTCTGCATCCTGATAATGAATTATGTCAGCATACATATGGAGCATAATTACAGTCAGTGAGGGCAACTTTGAAGGAAACTGAATTTGTCTTTTTCTTTGCCCAGATGTCTCGAATTAATCCTAATGCAGGAGATAGGCAGGGCAAAATAAACACAATGCAGCCTAAAGGGGTTGTGAATGGTTTGGAAAGAACCTTACGCTGGCAGGAGGGCACTCCGGCTGTCCACTGGGTACCATTCCCTTTCCAAACACAGGTGATGAAGCCAGGTCCCTCCAGCTGGTACTCAGCAGAGCACTGGAACGTTATTACAGTCCCCACAGCCGTGCCGTTGCCATGAAGGATGTTTAGCGTGCCGAGCTGGGGGGGGAAGACGTGGCTGCACTGCCCTGCAGAACAAAACCAAAGTGAGACAATGCAGTGCCAGAGCCACTTCAGTTTTATTGCTATCAGACTGTAAATCTGAGTTAATGGTCAAAACAAATAACAGACCTCGGGGGGGGTGATGCTGAGGGCTCTGCCAAGCACAGCCCAAGGCCAAGCCCCCTTCGGTGCCATTCCGTAGTTCCCCTACTCTGACCCCTGGCACAAAGCGGGGTTTTACTTGTACTGCAACAAGTATTGCTTAGGCTGGTACACGTTAAACTATTAAAAAGTCATTCTGGGAGTGGCATGGTCTCCTACGGATTCCTGTCTTGTTGGACAGTATGTGTTCAACTAAGTACTCAGGCTGGCATCTTCCATACTGGAAGTACTCATAACACATCTTCCCCCATGCCAACTTTGCAAGCTCTGATGGACTGATCACATATTTCAGGACGTCAGTCTACTTGGTAGCACCTTTTCCTGATCCTATGGGAACTTCCTGTCTTTCAGGAGAATATACCTCTGTTAGTCTTGGCTGAAATGAGCCAGTAGATTCAAAAGCTACACAGAGGGGACAGAAACATAGACATATAGCAGAACTACATTCAACTTACCTCCATGTTCAATGACAAACTCTGCTTTATAGTGTACCAGGCATTTTTAGTACATTTTTGTTCATTCAGCTTTTCTCTTTTTTTGTTTCTTTGTTGTTCATACTGCTGCCCAGCCACTAACTTTATACATTGAGTTTGACTGTCACAACATTCCTTGTTTCACACTCATTTTAAACACAGATTTGAAGACAATATCCAATATCCAGATAGACTTCAAACCCAACAATAATACAGGGTCTGGGTTTGCACACGTGCAGTGACATGATGTGGAAACTGCTCTTTTTTTCTACATTTACTGAATACCAGCACTGCTTCTGCATCAGAGCCCGGGTTCCCTACCTTGCACTGGATTTCCAGATGACTTCAGCAGACTGAGAGGCAGCTGCACTGCAGTTGCATGACCAGAACTGCAAACACTACGATGACACACAAAAGATTACAGGGGGAAAAGATGATTCCCACACTTATAAGCAAGAAGAAATGTAAGTTTTTAAGAGCCCTCTTGAGAGTATCTTGACAGAATCACATGTTGATAGAAAATTTATTTTATTTTTAATACTAAATCTCCCCCTGGTCATTCGTTAATATTAAGCTGCTGTGAACAAGCCACAGCAGACATGCTGACTGCTCATCTCCAATCTACTCTCTTAAAACCCCCAACCCGCTGGGAAACAAACACAAAGAAATCTCAGCAAAGGCAAACGCAAAACCCACAGTGACAATATCTGCTCTAATCTACTAAGTAAATATGTATTGAGGTCTAGCTTTTAAAACCATGCCTGGTTTAATTCCAGGTAGATTATTTCTGTTTGTTTTGCCACTTCTTTCAGTCTCTTCTTATGGCAGCAATTTGCCTCAATGACAGCAAATATTTTCTAGAGGGTCATTTCCCTTCATCTCTTGCCCTTCCCTCCAACATCCTGATACTGGCACACATGGGACGTGTGCATGGGACAATCTCCTCCTCACTCCAGATGAGTATTACAAGTTTGAACTTTTCTTTTTACTTTAATGACTCAGAGATTTCCCATGAAAAACCATGGTTCTAAGACGCAAAGTATCTACCTTTTTGCATTTTATGCTTTCAAGGCCATTTTTAGATACCGGATCACATACTTAGAGTTCACCTTGGTGACACTTGTAGCTGCACCAGAGGCAGAAGGTAAGTCAGGGCTAAATGTGATTCAGAGCCCATCTGCTTAGCCACCATAGTAGCCCTCATTAGACAGTTGCAGTAGACTTGCCAGTTTACCTGGACTTAGTATTCAGCCTCTGCTCTCCAAAGAAATGTTCATTTGGAACTGGATCCTTTATTTCAAGAAATATTTCATCTAATCTAGCATTGACCGTCCTGAGTAATAGGTGCAGCTGTAGTTGGTTCAGGCCCTCTTGACCCTTTCCTGCATGGTCCTTGCCCATGACAGTGTATACTGAATGATTAAAATCTCTGAATGTCAGTGCCCTTGTCAGCATTATTCCTCAGCTGTGGATTTTAACATATTTTTCTTCACTTCAGCACTACAAAGATTTCCGACAGTCAATGTCTCATGAAACCATGGATATTTCCTTGCTTTGACCAAGGCTGTAACAGCACTATGTCATCCCCAGAGGATCATTCCCGTAGGAATGTAATTGGGGCAGGACCCCCAGAGGTTCTCATTAATGACAACTAATGAGAGCTCAACTTTTGAAAGCTTCTATACCTGGCTCTACACAGATGATGAGCTGAAAGTTCATCAACTGCATATTACGTACCTGCATTTGGCCAGAGTAGAAATATCATTTTTTCTTCCTCTTCACACTAAAGTCAAAACATTAACCTTGTCACTATTTTTTGCACTTTACAAATACTTTTATTGCAGTGCATAAATGGATGTTTGCTAGTTTGACTTAGTGAATTTCAGCCAAGTTCAGATTTAATATCCCTGGATAAAATTTGCCCTTATTTTCATTAGTGATAGTCTTCTAATAACTCATTTGTAAAATGTCTCCTGTAACCTCTAGCATCCTTTGCCATTAACTGTCTATAATGTTTTTGTGGTTACTTGCTGCATTCACTTTTCTGCTAGGTTAATTTTACCCTTCCATCTCCAGAAAATCATTGCTTAGGTAAGCTTCCGCCTTCATATTGAAGCAGATGTTCCAGACAGATGTTGCTCAGTAGCGCTTACCCCGACCAAAGGCTTTCTTAGTCTCATGCTCTGCCAGGGAGGATGGGAAGCCAGGAGGAAGAAGAGACAGGACACCTGACCCAAACTAGCCAAAGGGATATTCCATACCACAGCACGTCATGCCCAGTATAGAAACTGGGGGCAGTTACCCAGAAGGCCCAGATTGCTGCTTGGATTGGGCTGGGTAGTGGTCAGTGGATGGTGAGCTCTTCCCTTGTTATTTCCCTTATCATTATTATTATTGGTGGCAGCAGCAGTGGTTTGTGTTATACCTTAGTTACTGGACTGCTCTTATCTCAGAGATAAGGGGGGGGGGGGGTGTTGGAGACAAAAAGGGGCAAAAAGGGGAAGTGAGTGAGCGGTTGCGTGGTTCTGAGTTACCAGCTGGGCTTAAACCATGACAGTCCTTGCTTAAACCATGACAACTCTTCAGGCATGTTTATCTAACTATATCTGCTACAGCCAAGAACTTCATTGTTGTTTGTTTAAATGCAGTACGTTTCCATTTTTGGTGTCAGCTGAGGCTGGTGGTGGAGGTTGCATTGCCTCCTGAAGTAAAACACAAATACTGCATTTGTGCTGACCAGATTTACACCTTGATTTACATTTCTTTTCTGAGCATCTAGAAAACATCATGTTCAGGTCTTGGTCTGCAGGAACTGTTAGCACCCAGAAATGTAAAACTGAATAAACCCCCTAATTATTGCTCACAGAGCTTTTGCCATAGCTACATCTCAAACCCCACTAATTCATGCCTGACAGCCAGCACCTAAAGCTAGAAGGGACACTTGAGGACTTAACAGCCTACCAGCCATTTCTATGTAGTTTATAATAACCACAAACACTCATGATGTGTTGTTCAGTTTTGATTAGCTTCATAGCATTGTTTCTAGACTTGATAGGTGCCTCCAGCACCCAGTTCCCATTACTCCTCACTGTTCTCCACTCCCAGGCTCATGTTCTGCTTACGCTTCCAGATAGTGGCTATTACTCCCAAATACAAGAAGAAAATGTAAAGCATCCACTCTGGTGAATGGAGATGGCCCTCAGCCATCAGCTGCCCAAGTCAATTCAGGTTCCTGCAGCTACCTCTGCAGCTACCTCTGCAGCTTCTGGTAAAGCAAGAGGTGATTTATGCAAATGCATTTCTTAGCTTGGCTTCACACTGAGATGCTATCCAGCATTCAAAAAGTATCTGAATCTGCTGTTACTGTCTGCCAACTGAGAAGAAGGCGATTTGCTATAGCAAATGAACAGATTATTTCATATGAAAAATAACTGTGCTCAAGGTAAAAACACTAAAATGCAGCATACGCCGTAAATTCTTAATTCAGCCAATACTCCGGGTTAAGAAATAGCCACATACATAATTTCCAGGCATTGAAAAATAAAATAGTAATGCAAGAATTAAGGCAAAATAATCTAAAATATCTTTTCTTATGTACAGCCAGGATTATCTGTATTGCAAAATCAATTTGTCAGAAAGAGTTACCATATGGTTTCATTGTCAGAAAGCTGCGGATTTGTATTTTGCTGATAAGAAAACAGAAATGAAAGAGCAACTGAGACATGCTTGCCCATTAAACATTTCCTGTGTACCTCCCACAGTGAAACATAAAACTAAAAGAATCAAATACACCACATAAGTATATACTAAAATGCTCTAAACCACAGCAATAATTACCTGAAAGCATGTTATCAAGATTGCCACTCACAGGTTTTGCAGAAAGGGAGCAATCCATGACTTTGCCTCATTATTCCCATACACACATAACTCAAGTCTTTGTGTTGCTTCTTGTTGACTATTTAATGCAACTAAAACATGCTGGAACAACCGGATGCCAGGAAGAGACAGAACATCAGGTTCTATAAACCCTGCAGGAAATAAACTTGCTGATATTATTTCTGCAAGTCTCTCTGCCTGCAGAAGCATGCCTTCAAAATTAGTTTCCCTGAAGTCACAGGCATAATGTTGACCATCCACAGCAGCCCCACAGAAGGGCTGTTGGAAGAGCTTGCCATGTCAAACAACCAAAAGTAAAGCAGCTAGAAGTGAAATGTGAACTATGAAAGAAAGCAGAAGTAGTAAAGCATCTTGTGTGGGTGAAACCACCAGCCCTGGCATTGGTCCCCTCGCGACCGAGCCTCCACTCCCTTGCAGTGCTGGCTGTGAGTTCTGCCAGGGCTGGGCTCTCAAATGCATCAACATCAATTGTTGCTGCAACATCAACTGGATAC